GGGTGTGGCTCAGTGGTAGAGCACCTGCCTAGAATCCTCCAGTGAGGCTGGGGGTGTGGCTCAGTGGTAGGGCATCTGCCTAGCATTCAGGGTGCCCTGGGTTTCACCCCCAGAAAAAGAAAGAAAGAAGAAAGATAAACGAGCTAGGCATGGTGGTACAATCCTGTTATCTCAGCATTTGGAAGACTGAGGCAAGAGGGTCACAACCGCAAATTATAGTTACAGAGAGAGCTTTAAGAAGGGCAATGTAAAGCCAGATGTGGTGGCGCACGCCTCTAAACCCAGCACTTGGGAGGCAGAGGCAGACACATCTCTGAGTTTGAGGCCAGCCTGGGCTACGAAGTGGCTACACAAAGAAACCCTGTCTGGGGGAAGGGGGAGGATAACATGGACAACTATATTCATAACCAATTAGAAGCCAGAATGTACATCTCCTGTACTGCGTGGTCTTGTGTGTCAACTTGACACAAGCTAGAGTCATCAGAGGGAGGAGCCTCAGCTGAGGAAATGCTCCGTGAGATCCAGCTTTAAGGCATTTTTTCATTTAGTGATCAATGGGGGAGGGCCTAGCCCACTGTGGGTGGTGCCATTCCTGGGCTGCTGGTCCTGGGTTCGACAAGAAAGCGGGCTGACCAAGCCAGGGGAAGCAAGCCAGTAAACAGCTCCCCTCCATGGCCTCTGCATCAGCTCCTGCCTCCAGGCTCCTGCCTTGTTTTGAGTTCCTGTCCTGACTTCCTTCCGTGATGAACAGCAATGCAGAAGTGTAAGCCAGATAAACCCTTTCCTTCCCAACCTGCTCTTTGGTCATGGTGTTTCATCACAGCAGTAGAAACCCTAACTAAGACATCTCCTATTAACAACAGGCAGGAAGCCCACTGGTTTCCCTGATGAAAAAAGGAGCCTGCAAATCTCTGTACCTGGGGTCCAGCTTCCCGGCTCCAACAAAACAGGAGACAGGCAGCGAGGAGGGCATGGCACCACCTGACCGCCGGGCAGCCTCTGAGCCAGCCCTGTGACATCCTTACCTCCATAGACCACTCCAAACTGCCCGGAGCCCAGCACCTCGTCTGGGAAGATCTGGTAGACAGTGGCAATGTCCTGTGAGGTAGAGACAGCATGGTCATGGGTGCAAACTGGAGGTGAGAGGGTCAAGGAGACAGGGGACCAGGAGGTCAGAGGTCGGAGGAGAGCCGACAGGTATGGTAGTTTTGTCGGCTGAAAGAGGGTCCAGCCCAGGCTGCCCTGGGGCAGGGGGTTGTCTTATAATGGATGTGGAACGACCTGGGCAAACAGTGAGCAGCACCATTCCCTGGCTCTGGGTCCTGGACTGTGTAGAGGAGGAGGAATGAGTGAGCAGCAGGCAGGCACACACGCATTCCACTCTGCTCCTGACTACAGATGTGGCCAGCTGCCTCCAGGTCCTGCCAACTGAGCTGCCTGCAGTGATTGGCTGTATTCTGAGCCCAAAGAGACTCTGTCTCTCCTAAGTTGCTTTAAAATTTTTTTATTTGATTTAATTAGGTTTATTTTAAAGTTCAACAAAATAAACAATTTACTTTTTAATTTTAGAAGAATAAAAATTGTTTTATTTTTTAATTTATTTTAAATATGTGTGGGCAGGACTGCAGATAGCTGAGCGGGTCAGGAGAGGGCATGGGGTCTTCTGGAGCTGGCATTTACAGGGAAGGGTTGTGAGCTGCCCAAGGTGGATGCTGGGAATCCAACCCAAGTCCTCTTCAGGACGAGGGGCTCTTAACTGCTGAGCCATCTCTCCGGCCCCCAAGCCACTTTGAGCAGGGTAGCTTGTCATGATGACCCAAAATGAAATGAAGACAGAAGGAAATTGCCCCCATGGTGGCAGGAGACTTACCACGTTCTCTTGGATCTGACTGTTGGACACAGAAATACTCAGAGAAGCCCGTCCTAGGAGGAGGGGAGAGACAAGCGAGTGGGATCCAGGCTCAGCACGGCTGTCACCTGTACCTCCCGAGGCTACACTCTGAACCTTAACTTCCTCATCTACAAACTGGGAATACAAGAGTGTGGTGGTGGTGGTGGGGGGGGGGGTAGACCAGATGTACCGAGAGACTCCAACCGGGACCTCGCATTCCTGCGCCTACGTTTTTACCCAGGGTCCTCCGCGCCGAGGAAGGGAGGCATGATGGTCCCAGTTAACAGAGCAGGAAACTAAGGCTGGGGGGGAGAGCCGCAACAGATTTCGGCAACTTCCCTGGAACTTGCCCCATCACATTACAAACTCAACTGAGGCATTTACAAAGTCCTGTTCCTTCTGCCACCCAAATGCTTCTCTTCCTCATCTCCCCTTCCCACCCCACAACAGTCCCATCTAGACTACGGTTCACCAACCCCCACCTACAACTTACCCCAGATTCGTCCCTCTTCTCCTTGTCCCAGTCTTGCCCCTTTCCTTCTCCTCTCTTTAAAAGATTTTATCTTTACTTTTAGGTGTGTTTGTATAGGTGTAGGTGTGTATGTCTGTGTGTGCATGGACTCACACACGAGTACAGTTGTCCAGAGAGGCCAAGAGAGGGCATAGGAACCCCTGGAGTTACAGGCGGTTGTGATTCACCCAGCAGGTCCTTAACCACTGGGCCACCTCTCCAGCGCCCTTTCTCTCCATTCTTCCTCTTCTTCCCATTCCTACTCTTTCTTCTTTGCCAGAATCTTGCGGGAGAGCTCAGTCTGGCTTTGAAATCACTGCTTGACCTCAAACTCATAGCAATCCCCCTGCCTCCACCTCAAAAGTGCTGGGACAGTAAGTGCGTGGTGCTATCTATGCCTGACTCAGTCTTGTCCTTTTCTGTATGTAATCCCCACTCAACAAAGCCAGAGGGACCTTGTCCCTCCTCTAGACTCGGCTCTGCCACAGCTTTTCCATACCCTCGGGGAAGCTCAGGCCCTCTGTGCCAGACACACAGGCTGATGTAGGCATCATCTGTCTGCGGCTTTGACCCACTCCAGGCTGTGTGTTCCTGACACACTGGCCTCCCTCTGGCACTCATGTGCAGAAGGCTCGCTCCTGCTTCCTCTCTTTGGTCCACACTGTACCAGAGCTGTGCTTTCTCGGGTAAAGTGCCCCTGGCTTCCCGGCTTCTTCTTCTCAGTCCTGCCCTACTGGCTGGTACAGAAGACGGACTTGGACAATTCCCACAGCTAGTCTCAGAGGCGACACCCCCAAGGTTGGGTAAGGGTTGCACAGAGACACACCCAGCCCAAGCCCACCCAGCCTTCCTCCAGGCTCATCCCTTTCCCTAGGACACCTACGAGCCTTTCCAATGTCATCTCACAGCGCCCTGGGTGGGGACTTACTGTGCGGTGTGTGGCCTGGGGCACTGGGTGCATCTTGGAGAATGACGGGCATCAGTGCTTGGCGGATCGCTGTCTCCCAACCCCGCACGGCCTCTGTCCCCTGCCCACTCGGCCCTCCTGGGGCCCCGCCAGGTGTCTCGCCCACAAAGTAGGTGACATTGGCCGTGATGATCTCGAAGCAGTGTGGGTTGGTGCCTGGAGGTACGAGGCTGAAGTTCTGAGCCGACTCCACGGCAAGGATTTCAGACAGTGGGATTTCCTGGCAAGGGAGGGGACTGTCAGGACGGGCCAGCCTGGTGGGCCATCCCTGTGGCTCCTTTGCTCTCAGAGGGCCACATAAAAGCCACAGTCAATAAGGACGACAGGCCTGGTCTACATGGAGGTCAGGAAAGGTCTCCCACCAGTGCCCATATTAGCCATAAGAACAGCCAGTTGGCAGAAGCCAGGGCACAGGATGTGCAAAGGCCCCGGAAAGTGTGCTGTGCCATCACATGGGACAGTCCCCGGCACACTGTAGGCACTTGGTAAGTGTTTGCAAATGAAGGACACGAGGCTCCACAAGGACACCAGGGGCCATACAGAGAAGACTGGATCCTGTCTAAGGGCCCGAGAGAGCAGCCACAGAAAGGTCTGGAGCAAGGAAGTGCAGTTTATGGCTGGTGCGGAAAGTCCATGAGACTAAAGGAGATCCAAACAGCAGAGAAGAGGGAGGCGGTGGAGAGAACGTGCAGGAACTATGGTGCAGGCGAAGCACCAAGAAAGGAAGACAGGGAGG